TACTCTTGATCATCTGTCCATCATCGTATAAAGCCCGCCCTGACAATTTGATTGGATCGCCTGACAGTGGGCAATAATACTCGCGCTACTATGGAGCAGAGCCAGACCAAACTTCCCCGAACTCAAACCTTGTGGGCGGGACTAAGTTCGGACTGGCACCCAGGCTACCAAATCTATATAACCACTGGTAATTTCAGTGAAAATCATATGGACTTATGTGCCTAAAGAACATGCGTTTTGTCAAGCCCTCTCCCTCCAATTAAGGCCAAACCTTCAGTTAATTTAGTTGCAACCTTCAAAAACAAGTGATGCAAACTGTTGGACATTTATGAGAGTGTATTTGGAAATGAGTGGAAAAAAAGCAGCAACGAAGGTCTTGTTTAGAGTCACATAATAACAACAACCCTGTAGTTTCTCATTCAGAATAATTCAGTTTATATGACAGGTGTATTATGTAAACACTTCAATATTATATGCTGTAAAAGGCAATTATCCTTGTCACATTTCAAAATCTAAGTCTTTTATCACACCTTAATTCATTAGAACATTAATGTTTGTTATTGTTTGTATCCACATATATAAAGCACGCTTTTGTTTGGATCCAAAACCAAATTGTTCTGCACTAATTGCCAGAAAATAAGACATGCGCTAAAAGGGCTTTAAAATGCCTAAGGATGGAATATAAAACAGATGCAAGTGTATTAATGCAAAGAGAAGCGGAGTCGACCAAATGAGTTTTAATGCAAGAGTAATAAGTTCTTTTAAGTAATGAAACAAAAAATACTTTGTGGAATATTTAACCATCTGTTAAGCAGAAAGTTAATAAAAATATAAGACTGTTTTCAGTGTTTCTAAGGTTTAGCCCAAATCACAGCCATGAACCCACTTAATATAATCTACAGGAGGTTGATGCACTTTCAAAGCACGCTTTTAGATTGCTAAACCAAAGGGGGTGTGAACTACAACATGTAGCATTTGCCTTAGCATTGCACTGAGCTCAATGCAGTGATCTTCAGGAGCATTAAAAAGCCTACAGTGGTTCATCCACTAGAACTGACTGAGACCTTTACATTGTACTTTCAGAGCTTGTTATGAGTTGTTTAGCCAAGTCTGATTTATTAGCATAGTTTTTCAGGTTTAATTTTGTTTGTCTTCTTGTGAAGTTAATCACACAAAAGAAAAATTAACTTAGAAATATGAAGAGGAAGAAAGATCATGTGGAAAATGTAGATTTTCATCTGTTTAGCTTGTAACTCCGAATAAAAATAATTAGTTTTAATTAATATTTTCAGTATGTTGTACAAGGCTTACCTGTAGGCTTTCCTGGCAGTTTTATATCTACATTGAATAATGACATATCGGCCAAAATATCCTAGATATATCATGATATAAGGTTTTGACATACCGACTGCTAGCTGAGTGTAAATAAAGGTGAAGTGACTTGTACCCGCCTTTCGATGTCAGGACCATTTTGTTGTTCAAGAGAGCATATTTGGATTATCTGAAACTGGGATAGAGTTACTAGAAACAACAGCTGTGAAACTTTTTTTTTGGGCCACCTTTAGCTTTGGTTCTGACATTTTTATATAATCTTATAGAATGCAAGTTAATAATATTTTCTATGAAGACCGAAACAATTAGGGTATCAGTCCATGTTTTATTGGTTTTTATTTCACATGGTAGTGAATTAAATAATTCTACTCACAGAAATCTGACCTTTTCATGTTAAAACATATGTTGGTTCAAACCAGAAAAGCCCACAGGGGTGAGCTCTCCACAGATCGTGATTTTGGTCCTCCTCCTTGAGGCATGTCATTCATGGAAGGGTGCAAACATCAGCCCACCTTGCTAACATCATGATGATCTCTAGTCCACCAAATGGGGTGATTGCAACAATTAGGGATTGGTGATATTCGGTTAATGTTGCTGCTTGTGTTAAAAATACTAGAAAAGTTGATAATGCTACATCCTCTTTAATGTGCATACACATCAAGTTGAATTCTCATGGGTACCTTGTTTAAATATTTTCCAAACTAGTTCTTTTCTAGTTTCTTTTCAAAACTAGTGTTTAAAAAATAATTTTAAACATGTATGCAGTTTTGCCAGCTTCCAATTATATAAGCAAAGATAAACACAGTGCAAAAGAATTCATACCCTTTCAACTTTTTGACATTTTGCATATTACTTGAATTTCTTGTATATTGGACAATGCAAATAAGAGTGTTAAGTGGGAGGAAATTGATTTATACTTTTAATTTATTTATCTATTTTTTTTTGTCTTTTAAAAAAAAAAAAATTATCTGAATAAGCTAAAAAGGTAGTGTAGGATGCAAATGTAAAGAGCCATAAATAAAAAGAAATATTGTAAAATGCAGATACTGCTGCAGTATTGGTTCTGCAGATTTAGTTACCAGAATATTCACTCTTTGTATCTGATCCAATTAAATTAAATAACTGACCAAGTTTAACACAGTTTCTTAGCCCACTGCCCTTTTGGTCCTTTTTTTCATCAAGACTTTACATTTGAGGTCTGAACTACTGTGCAATCTGACCTTGCGAACATAGCTGACGGCGTCCTCCTCGGTGTACACTTCGGCGCTGACTCCTCCCCTGCGGCGGCGGGCCTTGACGACCGGGTTTGGAGGAGGAGGAGAAACCTCATCGTCATGGGAGTCTGACTGGCTGTTAGACTTCTGCCGTGCCATAATCTGCTTGCATTCTTCCTGTAAAATCAAATAGATAAAGGTGTTAAGACACTATTGTACTAAATGCCTGAACACATGAGAAAATACAAGCTGGCGTCCTGCTCATTTAAGGTTAAAAAAAGAAAACAACAAAACAAAGAAGAGATCAGAGGAGACCCAGGAGGACTGTGGTTGACGGGGGGGCCAACCCTGAACACTGATTAGTTATTGACTGCTTTCACGATTAAACCATTAGCATACAAGATCACTGTAGCCTTGACACTGTATAGGAGTGCTTTAAGACCCAAACAGCAACACTTTGTACAAAATCAACTAAGGCTGAAACATTTAATTGGATTAATCCTGATTAAATGATTATCGTAATAATCTTCAACTAATTAGGTAATGATTAATCGTTAACTTGAGTACATAGACTCTACAACATGCCTTCAGCTAAAAGAGCAACCCACACAAAGACGTTATTACATGAAAATTGTAAAAAAAAAATATATTTTGCATGCAAGATGAAAAACCTTTTTTTTACTCATGAACATGCTTTACCAAGTCGACATGGAGCACAGTTTTAAAAATTCAGTTTAAAATCTTCTTAAAGGAACCTTCTGCTATCTGATTATTATTTAAAAGGAGAATCAACAGATTCATCAATTAACTAAATAGGCGTTAGTTGCAGCGCTAAAAGCAAATCAGTCTTTGCTTATCTTAACAAAAACACAAACTACTGCAATTATTAAAGCTCTAAATCAATGTTTAGCTTGAGTGTGTTTATCTGCAGCATGGTCAATATGATAGTGTTTTTTTAAATTAAACTTTAGTTAAACAATCATCTTTTTTCCCCTTTACAATATTATTTATATGGCCTGAGTGCAGATGCTTGTTAAGTTTTCTCTTTCACCCAAGCTGGTCCAAAGAGGGAACTAAACGATTTCTTTAGGCCTCCCTGCCAGCAGAGGGTCCAACAAAGCACTTGACCCACAGACAATGTACATCTTAAGACTTCCATAGATATGGTTGCCTAGATTATGCTACTTTTAACTATAATTTAAAAGAATTGCATGTGGAGGAATATCTGCATGGCTAGTTAATTTTATATTCTAATAGGTTATTAGTTTAATCAATTCTGTTGTACAGACTTATATGCATGTACACTGTACATATATATAAGTCTTGAAAGAGTACTTCTCTCAAGCAACAACAAAGAACACAAAAAACATGGCTGTAGCAACACAAGACAGTTACGCAAATTAAGTTCTCTTGAACATTAACTTAATGGTTTCTTTGATATGATCTTTAAGTAAAGTTTATTCTTTAATATAGTAAATGTATCTGTCAGTTGATCTTTAAGTAAAGCAAGAACACAGCAGATGGGTGATGGTCATAACTGGAAGTTAAAGCCTCAGTTAAGGCCTTCATATATTCACAGGATGGTTCATATCTTTCCTGTCAGTCAACAAAAACCCCATGTTAGGGAGTCAGGGCTTACAACAGGCTTTTCTGGTAAAAACTGTTAAAAAAAAAAAAAACAGGTAACAGCTCCAACAAGAAGAAAGGAATAAAAAAAAAAAACCCTGAGGTTAAACTTTCGTTCTCTGTCAACAAAAAAATTTAATTTGTTTGGAACTGGATGGTTGAATAACTGAAAGACTCTGGTCAGGTCAAATATATTCTCCACATTTTCTTCAGGGTTTCCATTGATGCTAATCGCGGCAAAATTACTGATTAAGGCTCATATCCATTTTGATGGAGAAATGTACTGTTTGGTCATTCCTGCCTGGTATATATATATATATATATATATATATATATATATATATAAATAATTATACTGCTGTATATAGAGGGATGAGATTTATATAGGTACAAAACAAAATCTAAATTGTGCTTTTGAAAGCTTTCTTCAAACTGTGGCTGATTTTCCACAAACTGTAGCTTTATTTACGTTAATATATACATAAATTTTAAGATATTACTACAAGAATGTGCTGACGTGCTAAGTTGGCAAACTAGATCATTTTGAAGCCCAACCATTAGCCTAAGTTAATTTCTTTAGCATTAGATACTATGCTGAAGCCAGAGAACAACCGTCAATCCCTTTTACTCGTTCTGAAAAATAAATATTATAAAAGGCTGTGTTGTACAGTTTAGACTAGAGGTAATTTAAACTTCTGACCATTCTTATTATGAACCATTGTGTATGTAAACAAATAAATTTAACTTTGAACAGAACAATAGAATGAGCTGAAACACAGGGTATTCAATTTTAACCTCACATGCTAGAAAAATTAATATTTATTAGATCTGTCCTTATTTTAATTTTGAATGTTTCATTCTTTCTGTTTTAAAATGACTTTGATTCAATCTATGCCTCATACTGTCCAGTAATCAGTTTCAGGAGACTGTTTAAAGCCACCACCAATTAGAAAGTGTGCAAAGAAGTCATTAGTTTGCACTTTGATTCAGCCTTTGAAATGGGACCCGTTTAATGATTTTATTCTGTTTTTGTTTTTTTTATTGCTGCACCTTTATATTTAACTGCCACCCAGTTTGAATATAGTAGTTGCTCATCCCAGAATAAAACAACAAATACAAATCAGGAGGCAGATGAAGCACACTTTCACATGCTTCTTGCTTATACGCACAGTCGAAAATCTGAGAAACACAGCCTGCAGGATAAGAGGACAACAACACAAACTCTCCCTCCTCCACAGATGAACCGGCAGACAGCACAGGGAAGCGAGGGATCCCACAGATATGATTTAATTAAGAGAGGAAGTCTGAAATCAGGTAAACTTTCAGTTTCCTTGCATGAATAAAAAAAGAACAAAAAAATGACTCTTCATATATTAACCTAGTGACAAAACTCAGGTATCAAACTCCAGGTTAGGTTTGCATTCAGAGGTACTTACCATGGCATGTAGGGCCCCTGGTCAGGCCTGCTGTGTGTGCCCCAGCATCAACTCTCACCGTGCTTTCATAGGAATCAGCACACATGGATTTCCTTCCTATTTACACCTGACACACATGCCACAGCATGTCAGCATCTTCCCTTTAAAAGCACATATATAGTCTTACAAAGAGCGGAGGAGATTCTGCGGTCCCCACGACGATGAAAACACTGATCACAGCAGAAAAAGAACCTGGCTCTCCATGGCTGCCGCAGCACGCTTCTGTGTCGCCTGCTTTCTGCCCTCTGTCTGGTTCTCTCGCTCTCACACTCACAATCAGGTGGCGCAGTGAGCGGGCTCTTCTTGCTGCCCTCCGTCACTATGACAACTGGGTGAGACAAGAGTCTGATCGGAAAGGCAGAGCGGCTCGGAGATGCTCTTCCATTCTCGCACGCACTGCTTCTTCTGACGCCTGGTCTGCAAAAAATCTCTCTGATCCCAGTGAGTCAGTTAGCAGAACGGGAAACGTCACTCTGCTCGGCGCGCACTTCTGTTCCGACCAAATGGTGTGTCGGCATGTTGTGCGCCGCATTCCCTCACTTACTAACCTGGTGTTTATGCCAGAAACTTCTTTCTGATCTTTTTATTAATGTCTACAGGCCGTACTGACACAGGTATTCATCAACCGATAATCAAAATAAATCCACCTTGACTGATGATATATGGAAAACATATTTTTTCTTTGTAGTTATTAAAACTGGATGTAATTAGAAAATTCTCTTATGCATTGTCTTTGGTCCATTAAAAACTGTAATTCATGCCAAAAACCTTTTATAAAAAGCCTACAATATCTCATCATTGTAATATGAAACTAGATATGCAAGTTAACTATTTATCTGCAAATATAAATACAAATGGTGCACAGTTATTACATCATCCAAGTCGGTTTTAAGTTTTTTTGGAATCTGAGTATACTATTTTTTTGATGAGAGCACAATTTTGTTTTATTACGCTGTAGCTTTTTTTTAGTGACTCCTCCAAATTTCTGTATTCATATTTTAACCTTAACTTCTACAATCTTCGACCTGCCTGTCAGTTTTCTGGACATATTTTTTTATTTTAATACAAGACAAATAAAGATTTCTTTTAATACAGAAATGGAAAAATGTCCATGTGCTGTATATTATCCGGTTTCAATACACAGTCAGGAAATATTTGCAGGAATTACTAGAGAGATGCCGCCTGTCATCTTTGAAAATACAATAATGTCATAGTTTTAAAACCAGCTGTTGTTACCTGATGTCCTTCTGGAAAATGGAACCAGCATCTCTATGAACTTTCCTGATAGATATCGTCTCAAGGGGCCTGTAATCTCTGCTATTGATCATGCATCTTTTAATACCACACTTTTTCCTTTCCACTTAACTTTCCCATCAATATGCTTACGCCACTTTCTTTGGAAGTGGACATGTTGGTTTACTAATGGAGGTGTTAATAACCATCTGCTGGAGGAACGGTGAACTTCAAATGTTTTTCAATGCATCAAATTTTTTGGCTGAAAAATCCTTTTTAAGTTACCAGGGATACTCATCAAAATTATAAGTAAACGCATTCCTCAATCGTATAATTAAATGTATAATGAACATATTTCATATATGGGGGGAGTGATGGCCTGGTTGGTTAGAGCAGTGCGCTTCTGCTCTGAGAAGGTTGCTAGCACCCAGTTTCAATCCCCACAGCCTCCACTGTGGCTCCCTAAACAAGCCCCTTAACCCCACACTCCTCCCCGGGCGCCGCACAATTGCAACCCACTGCTTCCCATGGGGGATGGGTTAAATGCACAGCTAAATTTCTCCAGTGTGAGATCAATAAAGTTAAATTATAAGTTTGAACTGATCTACTGAGCTAAAATACATTTTTTGCTAAGATTCTAAATCAGTTGAGCTGTACCTAAATGCATTGGTAAATAAATTGACTGTCTTGAGATTTTGTTTTTATTTTCTGTTGAACTCAAAACCCCAACTTCTAAAAATCAACCTGCAGCAAATTTTACATTCATTCTAGATTCTAGGTCAACATCTGGTACATTTAATCTTTAAATAAAAAATCCACTAATGAGTTGGCATGAATTACAGA